CCTGTCATAAAACAAGCTCAGAGAATATTCTGGTCTTTTCTGCACAGTGAAAGGAGAAGCTGTAAAACCCTGGCAGTCACCTTTAATATTTCTGCATTGCATTGCCTTGCTTGCTTGTGGTTGTTCTTTAGGGTTTCGATGTCATCCACTCATTGCCCCCATTGTGTCCAATTTGCCAGGAGCATGTAGGCCCCAGCTATTTTTTTCCTTCTTTCTTTCCGGCAGAGGTGAGGTCCACAGACACAGCAAGGACTAGTAAACAACCATTTATCTTGATCTCTTAGTGCCTATGTGCTCTCTGGGTTTTCACAAGACACCTTTCCAGTATGCTGATGATGACGACACACTAAAACCTTGTGATTCACCTTGAGCAAACATTGCCTCGAGGACTATCCGAAAACCATGACATTGCTGCGTTGTTTTCTGAGTTGCCCAGATCTTGTGATCCTCTTTGAAGGTCCAGTTCCAGGTCCTTCTGCCCAATGAAGCATAGCCCCCCCCCCAACATTTCCCCAATAAAAGCAGGAACATCCTAAATAATAATAATATTAATGATAATTTATTTATTTATTACTATTTATACCCTGACCATCTGACTGAGTTTCCCCAGCCATTCTGGGCAGCTTCCAACATATATAAAAACATAATAAAGCATTAAACATTTTTTAAAACTTCCCTATACAGGGCTGCCTTCAGATGTCTTCTAAAGGTGGTATAATTACATATCTCATTAGTTCAGGAGTTGCATAACTCCATACTCTCCAACATTTCTCCAGTGAAAATAGGGATGTCCTAAGGAAAGGCAGGACATTCTGGGATCAAATCAGAAACTAGGGTGGCTTCTGTAAATCTGGAACTGTCCCTGGGAAATAGGGACACTTGGAGGGTCTGATGAAGTAAGGTTCTTTATGGTAGTAGTACCCTAGTTGTGGCACTGCCCTTACAAGGAGGCTCACTGGCACCATCTTTGTGGACTTTTCAGCATTTGATCGAGACCCTTCTGTTCACCCAGGCCTTTCAAATAACTTATGTAGTCTGAGATTCTCAGGTCGATGCACATTTAAAACACATGGCTTCTCCTAAGGAATCTGTAGTTTCTTATGGGGGGTTAGAATTGTAGCTATGTGAGGGAAAACTACTATTCCCGGGATTCTTTGGGGTAAGCCATGTGTTTTAAATGTCCATTGAAAATGGTGTGGATGTAACCTCAGTTTATAGACCTGTGTTTTGGATTCGGGTGGGTGCTATGGGTTTGTTGTATTTACATAGTTTCAAACAAAGATGTGCTCTCCCAAACCCACATTCCCAGCATGTTTGCACTCCTGTCTCAGCGACGTGTATGCTGGCTTCATCATGTTCACAGAACAGAAGATGGCAGGATCCCCAAGGACATGTTCTACAGGGAGTTGGTTTCAGGCATCAGGCCTGTTGGCAAACCAACTTTGAGTTATAAGTCTGCAAACGTGATATGAAGGCTGGCAACTTCAACCCTGCCATGTGGGAATTATTTGCGGACGACTGGAGTGCCTGCAGGCAGTCTGGTTGTGCATCCATAGCAGTGGAGTCCCTAAGACAGTTGGATGACACCTTATATGTCTATTTCTGGAAACTCCTGCAGTCAAGCTGGTGCTTTGCTTTAGACCACATCAGGCAATCCGAGAGTGGGGTCTTGTTGTCTGGGCAGCCCAGGACCTCCATACACACTGCCCAGGCTTGCGCCCCAGGGAGGTCAGTTGGGTGCTGCAAACACCGTGGTTTGACTTCATCCGCAGAGATGCACACCATTGTCTCTCAATAAAGATAAATGTCAACAACAAGAGCAAGTTCCCCATTCCTGGTGTGGACAGTACTGAGCTAGATAGATCCATGGCCTGACTTGGTATTAAGACAGCTTCCTATGTCCCTATATGATCTTATGACCCATTTCCCAAGTTGCAGTGCAGATTAATACTATAGCACTCACCCTGGGTGAGTGAGTTCTGGGTGATGGTGACATCATCATCATCACCATAATAATAATAGTAAAGGTAAAGGGACCCCTGACCATTAGGTCCAGTCATGGCCGACTCTGGGGTTGCGGCGCTCATCTCGCTTTATTGGCCAAGGAAGCCGGTGTACAGCTTCCAGGTCATGTGGCCAGCATGACTAAGCCGCTTCTGGCAAACCAGAGCAGCGCACGGAAGCGCTGTTTACCTTCCTGCTGGAGCGGTACCTATTTATCTACTTGCACTTTGGCGTGCTTTCAAACTGCTAGGTTGGCAGGAGCTGGGACCGAGCAACAGGAGCTCACCCCATTGCAGGGATTTGAACCACCGACCTTCTGATTGGCAAGTCCTAGGCTCTGTGGTTTAACCCACAGCGCCACCCACATCCCATCATCATCATAATAATTTATTATTATTTCTACCCCACCCATCTGGCTGGGTTTCCCCAGCCACTCTGGGCGGCTTTCAACAGAACATTAAAAACAGAATAAAACTTCAATAGATCACATGATGGTGACATGGAACATGGATCACATGATTATTGAATGCACTTCCGAACAAATACATCCATCCATGCACCAGGAAAACCAAAAGCAGCCTGCTCTCTTGTCATGTTGGCTTTCTATAGCATAGAGATGTTTGTTTGTTTGTTTGTTTGTTTGTTTGTTTGTTTGTTTGTTTGTTTGTAGGAGGACCTTGCATCAGGTGAGCCCTTACCTGTGGGTGATACAGTCCAGGCACTGGCTGAGTCCTCTCATCTCCTATTTCTGAGAACAAGGTCTTCGATTCATTGAGAAACATGTCCTCTGGGGCTTTTTAGAGAGGTTAAGTGCTCTTGAAAGAGTAATAAACCTCAACATGAGTACCTGTCAATATAAATGCTTTTACTTAAACCCGGTGTAATTGATTGGTTTAATGTGTCCTTTGGTAATGTGAAACGTGCAAGGGTAAGGCATAAAAAAGCAAGCCCCACCATCTAACCATCCAGTGATATGAGGAAACGCTGAAGAGCATGCAAGGTCACCTAATGCTCTTAGTTTGGTGGGACCACAGTTGCCATATCATTCCTGGTTGCAGGCCATGCTAGCTGGGGCTGATGGGAGTTGGAGTTCAACAACTTCTGAAGGGCCACAGGTTGCTCTTCCCTAGTGGAAAGCCGGTGTGGTGTAGTGGTTGGAGTATCCGACTAAGAACCTGGGAGGCCAGAGTTCAAATCCCCACTCGGACACAAAGCTTACTAGGTGACCACTGAGGCCAGTCACTTTCTCTCAGCCTAACTACCCACCTATCTCACAGGGTTGTTGTGGATATTAAATGGGGGAGGCCATCTTGACCTCATTGAAGAAAAATGTGGGATATCTCTGCAACAGAATAAATAAATTACAGTGTAAAAGAAAATGGCATGATATTTGAACCGAACCTATGAAGCTGCCTGCAGCTTTTACGTGACGATGATGATGATGATGATGATGATTAATAATAATAATTTATACCCCGCCCATCTGGCTGGGCTTCCCCAGCCTCTCTGGGAGGCTTCCAACAAAATATTAAAATACCGTAATTACATGGGTGCCAGAAAATGAATGTGTTGTTTTATGTAGCCCAAGTGGGGGTGGGTCATGAAGAACAGTTCTTCAGTAGAGAAGCAATTATTACTTCAAAACTGGAGGGCAAGGGCCTATCTATGTGCTGCACTTACCACAAGGATTGGCAGGTTGCTGCCCTTGAATGCGTTGGGACCATCATGTGATAAGCTTCTATGCTGGTGATCCTTGTTTATTGCATTGGGGGGAGGTGGGGAGCAGACCCAGCGGCGGAGGAAGCAGCTCGGGCACCTGGGGTGGCACACCCAGGGGTGGGGCAAGCTGCCCATGGGGCGGGGTATGGGCAGGGCGCACTGCTGGGCCTCTGGAGTCCGCCTGCCTCCTCCAACTCAGCAGTCCTACAGCTGGGGGGGAGGCAGCAGGCAGACCATTTGGGCAGCGCAGAGCCTGCGTGCACCCAAGCCACCGCGTCTCTCTCAGGAGAGATGCATGGCTCGGGTGCACTGCAGGCCCCGCGGTGAGTGCCGCCTGGCATTTTGTCGCCCCCCTCAGTGGTGACACTGATTCACAATATGCAGCTGTGACTCATGAAGAGCTCAGCTAAGCTGTTATTCCCTGGGGGAGTTTTTTTGGGGGGGCACAATATGGAGACCTTTCTTGTTCCCTCATAGCAGCTAGTAGCAGATTGTGAGGAATGAGTTTTGAGTAAGGAAATGGCCTGGTGGAAAGGTTTAAACATGCTCCTTGGCATCACAGTCCTCATCCACCACCCAGCCCACACCACCCTACCCAGCAACGACTGCGTTTAAGTCGGGGGGGGGGAGCGGGGACATGAGGAGATGTGATCACCTGTCCTCCTTGTAAGGTACAGTTTGGCTCTGACTAACACTGAACTCGGAAGCTGCGTGGAAAAGGCAGTGGCGGCACTTGCAAAAATATTTGCTGTAAGGGGAATCGAATCTTCAAGGTGATCTTCTGAGAATTCCTTTCCTTACTTAGTGTGAAACTGCAGAAAACAGGGCAGGAAAGGTGACTGCTAATGCTGCGTCTCATGCACTCACTGAACTCCCCCACGGCTTCTAATAAGCTCTTCTTCACAGCTCATCAGTAAAACAAAATTTCATTTCCAAGCTCAGGTTCTGCTTGCCAAATGTTAGCTCACAGCATTAAAAAAAAACCACACACACAGCCCTGTTAGTCACCTCTGGAAACCATGCCTTTATGGAGTCGGAGCCACAATAAGCTTATAATGATGGCTGCACTTACCAGAATCCCAATAATTCCTTTAATGCAAACCATCATTAATGTACCTTCACATTTCTTCTGGCCACAGAAACTGTGCTGACTCAGTGCTGCAAACTCAGCATCTTCAGCTTCCACTCGGGCTGCAGTTTCCTGCTTGCTTAGCGACTCTAATTCTGTGTAATATTCTCCCTTGCTCTCTCTCTCTCCCTCTCTTTAACTGCCTCTTTTGTGAGGAGTTCCCTGCACCCCTGCCAAGGCTGCAGCCAGCCAGCCATATCCAAGTTCTCCATCTCTTTTGTAGAATAGGAGAAACTCTCACTAAAAAGCAGCAGGCGCAGCAAACGTTAGCATTTAATGAGATCAAGAAAGGGCTGGCATTCTCACTGCCTCGCCAGATGCATTTTTTGCTCGGAATTAAATCCCTCTGAATTGCACAGGATAGTCCCGAGCAAAGGTGTGCAGGGGCTGCAGTGTTAAGGAGCAAACAAAAGGATGCATTGAGAAGCTTGAGGGAAGCAGAAGGGATGCTTCGCAGACTGAATACGCATCTGAATGAGGACAGTGCCATCACGACTATGAAAGGTAATTGCATTTCATTTAGCTCCCCTATTCAGACAGTTAAAAACAACAACAGCAACCCACCACCCAACCACACTCTTGCCTGGTAACAATAGCATTCTGGAAGGGAATAGGGCAGCAGTCCCCTGGACACAGCTTTGGTATTGTGGCAATTAATCATAAAGAGAGAGGCAGAGACAAAGGGAGAGCCCTGTGCCATTAGCAAACGGCAGCATATTAATACAATTAATAAATTACGAAGGAGAGAAAATGGAGACTACGCAAGAACAAACAGGATGCTTGGTGCCTGGGTCCTGTCCCATTGCCCCGGCACCTTCTGTAAGAAAGAAAATGGGTGAACCGGACCCCCATCCTGAGAGATGGGGAAGTTGTTTCAGCACAGAGACTGCAGTCTCTCTCAGGGAACCTTCAAGAACCAAGCCAGTGGGTGGGCAGGGGCAAAAAAAAAATGGGCAGGGCAACAGATACGACTCCTTGGGCTGGGACACCATTTTAAAGGAGCACCCAGGAGATATATCAGTGGTGCTGATGACCCAGGGAGCTGACCAAGGGAGACCAGTATCAGTTTGCTCCCACTTGGAATTTCGGGCCGTTAAGACCACCTTTGTTGTCAAATGAACTCCTCTTTTGGAGACTTATTTGACATTCACATAGGCCTGCTCCATTGCCTCTGAAGATAATATTCCCTTGCCCAGCAGCTGCTCTACAATCTGTTCGGTTGCATTTGAAATATGCGTTTTTAAAGATAGTGAGGTGGACAAGGGCAAATCTTCCTATTGAATATATGCCAGCTAAAGCGCTAACTGCAATACTTGAGCAAAAAATGACTTGTCAAAGGAGTCTGCGTAAACACCCCCATGGTTTGCTGTCTGTTCTGTCAGTGCGAAAGGGAAATTACTCAACAATTCGCGAGATTACGCGACAGTATAAAAGCGACCTTTTCATTAGCAGTTTCATGAAATGGCTGTAAAGCCCTTGGAAGATTGCTCCCTTGCTCAGCAAGTGTCAAAGAAATTATAGTGTTTGGGAGGAAAAGGTACAGGTTAGAAAACTGTTTCTTTTTTAACATGCAGAGGCCTCTTCTTCAAAAACAGCAAAAATATTTTGGTTCGTGCCCAATTACAGAAACATAACAAGAGTAATCATGTGATTCTTAGCTGATCAATGAATGGATTGGTTGATTTGCATTAAGCTGCCTATTTAGTTGTCTAGCAAAGAACACTAAGTGTATTAGTATTAATGGCTTCCTATGATTACATTGGCTTCCTATGATTACATTATGGGACGCGGGTGGCGCTGTGGGTAAAACCTCAGCGCCTAGGACTTGCCGATCGCATGGTCGGCGGTTTGAATCCCCGCGCGGGGTGCGCTCCCATTGCTCGGTCCCAGCGCCTGCCAACCTAGCAGTTCGAAAGCACCCCCCGGTGTAAGTAGATAAATAGGGACCGCTTACCAGCGGGAAGGTAAACGGCGTTCCGTGTGCTGCGCTGGCTCGCCAGATGCACCTTGTCACGCTGGCCACGTGTCTGCAGACAGCGCTGATTCCCAGCCTATAGAGTGAGATGAGCGCACAACCCTAGAGTCTGGCAAGACTGGCCCGTACGGGCAGGGGTACCTTTCCCTTTACCTTTATGATTACATTCTTCAGCTTCCCATTCATAAGGAATTCAAACCTTATTTTCTGGAAAATTAAAAGGAAAAGTGTCCTTGTTCTAAGAAGATCTATGAGGCCAGTGAAAGCAGTGGAACCATTGTAGCTTACAGACTGCCAAATCCCATCCTGATTTCCATAACAGTTGGAGCTCCATAACATAACAGTGATGGATAAAACCTGACATAATACAAATCTAGTATTGCACTTTCACACTGACAAGTATGAAATAAATCAAAGACTTTAGGAAAGAGCATCCTTTCAAAAGGATACAAACAGGTCCCACTATCTGCCTGCTTGTCATCCATGAATTCACTTCATAAAATCATAGAAATGTAGAGTTGCAAGCTATCCTGAGGGTCTAGTCCAACCCTCTGCAATGCAGGAATCTCAACTAAAGCATCCATGTTAGATGACCATCTAACCTCTGCTGAAAAACCTTCAAGGAAGAAGAGTCCACAAAGGAGTCCATTCCACTGTCGAACAGCTCTTATCGTTAGAGAGTTCTTCCTGGTGTTTAGTTTGAATCTACTTTCTTGTAGCTTATATCCGTTGGTTCAGGTCCTACCCTCCAGAGCAGGAGAAAACAAGTTTGCTCCATCTCCATGTGGAAGTCCTTGAGATAATTGAAGATGTCTATCATATCTCCTCTCAGTCTCCTCTTTTCCAGGCTAAACATACTCAACTCCCTCAAAAGGCTTGGTTTCCAGACCCTTGATCATCTTGATCGCCATCCTCTGCACACATTCCAGCTTGTCAATATTCTTTTTAAATTGTGGTTCCCAACACTGGACATTGTGCTCCAGGTGTGACCTGACCAAGGCAGAATAGAGTGGCAATATTACTTCCCTTGACCTGGACACTATACTTTTGTTGATGCAGCCTAGAATAACATTTTTTGCCTCTTTTTCTGCTGCATCTCACTGTTGACTCATACTAAGCTTGTGGTCCACTAAGACCCCTAGATCCTTTCCCCATGGCAAGTCAGCTGTCCCTCATCTTATATTTCTACAGCTAGTTCTTCCTGTTTAAGTGTAGAACCTTACAGTGAAAATCATTTTGCTAGTTATGTAAACATAAATAATTATGCCCAAAACCATTATACTCCACAGATTCAGATATCAAAAGAGCTGGAGTGTGTCCACTTTACTTGTTGTGCTTTAGTGTTCAGTGACAGTTTTTGGACAGAAACTATGGAGATGGGGAAGGAGGAGAGATATCAGACGAATCAGAGAGCAGGAGAGATTGGACAAATCAGTTTATAATATGCCACTCTTTTGCTGGTTGGCTGCAGCCATTTTAAAAAGAAACTATGGTGGGTGGGGGAGAGAGAGGAAACTATGGAAATCATGGACTTTTTAGGTGAATGTTCACCTAACGAACGATTTCCAGTGATATAGCTTTGTACGCAGTAAGCAGGACTTGCACGTATATGAGAACCTGTAGGCCCAATGTTACATACACTCTCTATTAATACTGGTGTTCTCTTGAATTCATGAAAAATGAATATTAAGCTAATAGGTCTTGAGTATTAAGCTAATAATGTTTGCACATAATGCTAAGGCATGGTTTCTTGGTGGCCTGCATTCCTTTATGGCTTGGTGTTATTTGTGGACCTCATATCCTTCTGTAACCATATTTTGCTTGGCAACCCTGCCTCAGATGCTCACCAAGCTACAAAGCAGCCCTGCTGACTTCCAGACACTGAGATCCAGCGCCGAGGGCCTTCTGGTGGTTCCCTCATTGCGAGAAGTGAGGTTACAGGAAATCAGACAGAGGGCCTTCTCAGTAATGGCGCCCGCCCTGTGGAATGCCCTCCCTTCAGATGTGAAGGAAATAAGTAGCTATCTTATCTTTAAAAGACATCTGAAGGCAGCCCTGTTTAGGGAAGTTTTTAATATTTAATGCTGCATTGTTTTTAACACTCGATTGGAAGCCACCCAGAGTGGCTGTGGAGACTCAGCCAGATTTATAAATTATTTATTATTATTATTATTATTATTATTATTATTATTATTATTATTATTATTCCAGTGATCTGAAATCTCCACAAGTGCTGACATTAGAAGAGGACTGATGTTAAACTGTAGAGTCACACACACACACACACACACACACACACACACACCACCACACCACACACACACACACAGAGAGAGAGAGAGAGAGAGAGAGAGAGAGAGAGAGAGAAGGCTCCTTGTCTCCTGTATAAGCCACATGGCTTCCTTCATACTATGTAAGGTTATTGTTAAACTTTCTGGATGTGCGGGAGCCTTTGTAAAATATTTCCCCAGCATCTCTAAAATGGCTAATGCTGTGCCCAGCAGAAGGGAGTTCAGGGAAAGATCAGCTAAGCAGTTGTGTGCTTTATGGGAAAGAAAGGGATGAAACATCCCCACTGTGCTTTGTGGCCTATTATGATTGGACTGCTGCACCCATCCTTGGAGAGCATCATTTAGAGTGCTTACAACTGGGGCAGTAGGTCACCAGAACAGTAAGGGATGGAGCGTCTCTTTCTGTCGGAAGCACCACGATAAATGCTGAAGAACAGATTGCTACATACCATAATGTGGCGAATATTCTATTTCGGTCCTGCTTACATTTCTGCCAGACTACTAGCATGGCAGATTCCCAGCACCCCAGTTACTGTGCTCTTTGAGAGAGCATGTTTGAGACACCACTGATCACCAGTCATTTCCAGGATCACAGCCTTGTGGCCACAGAAGAAAATAAATCATTTGTTCAACTGTGGCAGGTTTTCAGCAATAGCTTTGCAAAACCAGGTATCTTGGGCAGCATCCATACATTCAGCTAACTTTTAATATCCTCTTTTGCTTTTTCCAAACTCATGTGATTAAACAAATATATATTTAACTGTTTTCCTTTATATCTTTGCTTGCAGTTTATTGTGAATAAATGAGAAATGAGAAATGTTGTAGCCAGTTGCTCAGGCATCACCCTTTATAAGTCTGTATGTATGTATAAGATTTATATCCTGCTTTTCATCACAAATCTCAGGGTAGATGACAGTTTGGGAAGGGCATATTTGTCAGGGTTTTTTTTTTTCAGTTTCTCTCTTATTTTTCCAATCTGAAATTCAGTTGTCCACATTTCTGCAGCAGTTTGCAATTTCTTTAAAATGGTGCAAAAGCAGCATTTTGATGCAAAATTCTCCTATTATGCACCTTTGTGTACACAGTTTTGATTAATTACACATTTTTGCAAGCCGTTTTCCCCAGCACTCCCACCCATTTATGTATGTCATTTTATATGCACACTTCCCCCTAATGTACACATTTGCATACGCAGCATTTGGTTGAACTGCATTGCAAAATTCAGAGAAATGCAGATTTTGAAGGATAATCGTGTTTTGGAACATGCATTGGTTCGAGAAGTGCAAAATATGTAGTTGCTTATTAAAATGCAAACAGAATCAAACTTCTTCCCATTCCCTAGTTACAGTTGAGTGAAATAAATGCACCTAATAAAACCACTCACTAAAACATCAAAACCACATTATGTATCTGTGTTCAACTTACTTTAAGATTAAGACACACACTTTGATTTGACCTTTGACATTCTGTTTCAGGAATAAGAATGTAAGATCATTCTCTAAAACTCCAACATCACACATTTATTAAGAATTGCATTGGAAAATGTGCTACCAGTTTTGCTTTAAACAAACAGAGATTGTTCTTGCATATTACACAAACCTTACATTAATTCCAATGACAATATTGTAGAAAACTCTACGAAAGAGGGCTAATCCTTTTTTAAACATCTGCAATATTTACTTTTTACAGACATATTAATTTTGTTAAAACTAATATCACTTGACAGTAACTAATTATTACCATTAAAACTTAATTAGCCACGGATACTGCACTTGAAAATCAAATATTGCCTCCTATTTTCCATCTAATTTGTTGGTTTATTAAGAAAATATCTGAGTGTGGGGTTGGCTGCAGGATTCATGCTTTATTGAGCAAAGCGGACCTATAAGTTCAAAATAACAGCTGAGGAAGGAAAGCTTTCTTCATTAATAAAAGCAATTAGTGAGTTACCCTGCTGTGTGACCAGGAGGAGTCCCAGCATGTAAATATAATCTTATAATTGGAGCAGTCAAGGCTGCAGACAAAGTGTGGTACATGTATGTATTGAGGGGAGAAAGAATGGAGGGGAGAGGCTGGATTTGTCATGCTAATACATAATAAGATTTCTTTTCATTTGAGGAAAGTTTGATTTTAATCGGTGTAATGTGATTACCCATTTTCTTTTAATTTGAAAATTTTTGATTGATTTGGAACAATTATGCAGCAAATAAAAATGTCAGGGGCCATCAAACTCATGATAGTACTCTTCTCTGTAACGGCTCTATTCCTATCCCAAGTCTTCAAAATCCTCAATTGCTTGGTGGCAGTAATAAGAGAGAAAGAAAGAAAGGGAGACAGTGGAAAGAACTAGAAAAAAATAGAGGGAAAGAAAGGGTGTGGGGGGAATGGGGGAGTGAGTTTCACATGGAAGCAGGAAGCATCACCACAGGGCCTCAGAAGTTTGACGTCAGAAGGTTTATTGTTGGTACATGGCAAGAAACAGTTTCAGAAACAGGTCACAACACTTGCTACCTCTTTTTTAAAGATTATCAAAGAACTAACACTCTTTCATAGGGTCTGGCAAAAGGGCGTGTGGCCCCATTTGCAGGTAATGTTCCAGTTATTTAGGTTGGAGATGGTGAAGTTTGAGACCGAAAGGCTTTTTCTGGCTTTTCCGTGCTGCCAGCCACAATATCTAAATTCTCAGAATGTACTGGAAAACTACTATGTCATGATAACATAGCATAATTCCAAGCTGCATTGTAGAGGGAAATAAGCAGCCCCCATTGGCAGCTGCCATCTTTGATGGGTCCTAGCAGGTCACCATTTTTTTAGAGCACCACTTACAATGATGCTATGTAATAAAAATATCATTCTGAGGAAATATGAATATTTAAACATGGTGGCCGTCAACGCAAAATAACCTGGGTGTACTGCTATATTTTGCACCCTTTCCCCTCAAAATTCACCCCCACTTCCTGACCCTGTGAAAGGCGGGGCAGGGCTCCTCCGTTTTTCAGTTTCCAATATTTCCACATTAAAGTTTGGCCCAGCCGGAAAAAATATTATTCCTATTGTTGTTTTATGTACAATTTTGTACAAATAAATGTTATTTCTGGGCTTCTGGCAAGGCTGTAATGATGTAGAGTGGTACCTCGGGTTACATAGGCTTCAGGTTACAGACTCCGCTAACCCAGAAATAGTACCTTGGGTTAAGAACTTTGCTTCAGGATGAGAACAGAAATAGCACGGCAGCGGCGTGGTGGCAGTGGGAGGCCCCATTAGCTAAAGTGGTGCTTCAGGTTAAAAACAGTTTCAGGTTAAGAACGGACCTCCGGAACGAATTAAGTATGTAACCAGAGGTGGTACCACTGTATAATGCTGCCTCTGGGACAGGCAAGATGCTAAAGCTGGGCTTTCCAGCTAGGGTTGCCACCTGCCCCTAGAAAAACGTGGTCGTTCTTTTCCTTTCTTTTTCGAGAAAATTGTCCCCTGTCCTGTTTGGACTTCAAACGGGATGCCCTTTTTCCTGTATTCAAGCTCATCCTTCTCATCCTCAAACCTACATGGGCAGAAGGGGGGTCCCGTGGGAGGAGGAGAGCGAGAGCCTGAGTGGGAGTTTGTGAGCGAGAATTATTGCAGGACTCAGGCAGAGGATGGGGTGGAGCTGCAAGGAGGCGTTTGAGAGAGAGTTTTTGCCTAGGCAGATGGTGGGTCACAGAGAGCAAGAGAGGGGGTTTGCAGTGCATGGGCCTGCTATGGTAGAGTCTCAGATTTTGCATGTCCAGAGGGGGCAGCAGGTGGGTCGGAGAGCGAGAGCTGGGGTTTGCAGGGGCCAATGTAACCTATCCTATATTACAGCTTAGGTAAAGGTAAAGGTACCCCTGCCCGTACGGGCCAGTCTTGCCAGACTCTAGGGTTGTACGCTCATCTCACTCTATAGGCCGGGAGCCAGCGCTGTCCGCAGACACTTCCGGGTCACGTGGCCAGCGTGACAAAGCTGCTCTGGCGAGCCTGCACCAGCGCAGCACACGGAACGCCGTTTACCTTCCCGCCAGTAAGCGGTCCCTATTTATCTACTTGCACTTAAGGGTGCTTTCGAACTGCTAGGTTATCAGGCGCTGGGACCGAACGACGGGTGCGCACCCCGCCGCACGGATTCGAACCGCCGACCATGCGATCGGCAAGTCCTAGGCGCTGCGGTTTTACCCACAGCGCCACCCACGTCCCTTATATTACAGCTTACAGTTGGCTATATTATACATTCAGTAAGGATCTGGGCAATCATCTGTGCAAATTGCTCTTGCTTCCTCGATACATTCTCTTAGATTTCATTACAGTCTTCACCTACAGTAACTGTATAACTGATGAATACGACACATCATTTAAATATGTCAACGTAGTGCCGCTAAATAACTAGCAGCTTTTGCAATCCAACAGCTTGCTGCATATTTCAAAGTTGCTTTTGTTTTCTTTAAAGTATCTGAAAAAATACTGTTGTATTTAATAGCCTAGTTCATATACATATCTTTTCTAATATTATGGCTCCTCTTCTCCAGGTAACATCTGCAGAGACAAACCACTGCTAAATATATCAAGGAGTGAAGTGACAGAAAGTACTCATGAAAGGTCAAGGAGAGAGAGAGAGAGACTATTGAATCTACACAGAGGAACTTACTGATTGACCCTTTCTATGGAAACAAAGATGCTATTTTGCTTTCCTTTCAGTATTGTTTGTTGTTGCAGACAGATTGCAATTGATTGGGGTGAATACCATGTTGTGTTATGTTTCATCTTGGTTTGTGTCAAACCAGTTAGCATTACAATGTCCAGCTTTGCATATAATATGCAATATTTTTCTTACAGCTGTATCTTATAGTGCTTTTGTGGTTTGTTTGTTTTTTATTGAATAAACCACTGTAAACCCTGTGTGACATTGTAATGGATTGCTTTGAAATTATTTTTGCACCAGGTAATTTTTAGCCTCCCAGTTCCCCCCCCTCCCGACCTATCCTGTATTATGCCCGACCTAACCTTTATTTTGCTCAACCAAAGGTGGCAACCAAAGGATGGGGTGCCAGGAACAGGCAATGGAGGCGTCACAGAACTATGGGGTTCTTCCTTCTTTCTCATCTGTGGACAGGCAGAGGGGTTACATTATGGCTGCCATTATGGCCGCTGGGAACTGGATAACTCCATCCAACTGAACTATGCCTGACTACTACAATGTAGGCCTTGAAAAGGGACTTCAATACTCATCTGTTCCTTTCCATCACAGTTATTTTGTGCTGCTGGTTTTTTAATTTTTGAAGAAGTATTGCAATTCATTGTCTCTGCTGCACCTTGATTGTGCCCTGCTGTGTATGCTACTTTGTGACTGCAATTCCCTAAATGGTTGCCTATGAATACAGTGGTACCTCAGTTTAAGAACAGTCCGGTTTAAGAACGATTTGGTTTACAAACTCCGCAAAACCGGAAATAGTGCCTCGGTTTGAGAACTTTACCTCGATCTAAGAACGGAATCCGAATGGTGGAAGGGCACCGGCTGCGGGAGGCCTCATTAGGGAAAGCGTGCCTCGGTTTAACAACAGTTTTGGTTTAAGAACGGACTTCTGGAACGGATTACGTCCGTAAATGGAGATACCACTGTACCTTAAATAAGTTAAGAAAGGAAAGGAATGATGTGTGACCCCAAGGCTTCTTCCTGCATCCTGCCATGTGTATAGGCTAATTCATAGGCCCTGTGAGATCCAGCCTGCAGTAGATCTTTTCTTCCATAAGCTCTTTCTCTCTGTGCCTTTTCCAACCGGCCTTCAGCATTTTTGCATTAATTACAAGGTTGCCCTTAACTAGCAAAGATTTCCGTTATTCTCCTTCTTCTCACTCTCATGTTTTGTTATGCCTAGTTATATTAAAAGGAAAGCAATGACATCCCAAGTGGGTTAAAAAATATAGAACTCAAGCAGAAACTTCTTAATGATTATCTTTGACCTTCAGAGATTCAGATCAAACTTATCTATGAGACGAAGCCAATTAATCGTCTGGGAGGATTTTTTTTTTTAAAGCCTACAGGCCTATTAAAATATAAATTGAATGCACTCAGGGTGTGCATTTCAGATCTCGCTGGTATCAAACATGTTAAAATCACAATAGAATGTAGGAAGAACAGTTGAACTCCAGTCATAGCAAACCAATTTGAGGCTAAAACATTGGGATGTACACTCCTCATTAAAAGGAAACATTTTTATTTTTAGTTCATTACAAAATGCCTGCTCAGTTGTACCGCAAGTGTCAGGAATTCAAACACTGTATCTTACTTCTGGGAACAGGTAAAAGACAGGAATAACGCCACCCCTCCCACACACCCCATGTAGAAAGTGCCAATCATAGGTGCCAACTCCCTGGGACCCCGGGTGCCTGAGTACCCACAAAATTCCCCATGAAAGGGCCAGGCACCCACAAATTTTGGTGCCAGGTCCATGCACACTCCATGACACCCACAGCCCCAGGCACCCAGGGCCGTGGGGCCAAGCTGTCACTCCTAGTACCAATTCAGGGTGCATGTGGTGGGGGGATAAGTATTTGCATAGTCAATAACTTACACTGTAAGAACTCCAAAACAGAAAAAGCCTATATTGCCAAGTCCTTGGTACTATGGAATTAACATAAATATGATGTTCCATTGTTGACTTTGGGTGTTTGAGGTGCTCGCTATGCTGTTTTTAATTATTGTTCTGTCGTCGTTTTATTTGAGGACTATAATTGCAGAGCACCCTAAGAGATTTTTAGTGCACCGAAAGGCAAGGTAAAAAAAAATTTTTAAGGACAGGAAGCCTTTTTGTGTTTACAGAAGTCTAGCACCATAGGCACAAGGGGGTCACTGGTAATTTTTGCATGTGAAAGGATAAGAGATTTGCTAACGCTTGATACTCTAAACTAAAAGCTGCTCTCTTCGGACAAGCTTTATGGAGTTACCATGGCAAAACAAACATACCACATGAACAAGTGATAACCCTTCAAGATTTCACAGGAAAGGGGGGATTTTTCAGGTAAGCAGTCCAATATCATTGGCTTTGAAAGCAACACTAATGGTTAAGCAACATGCTGTATTCAAGAAACATTGAAAGGAAAGTGAACTGCTACAGAGCAGGAAATATTGGGAATTTGTTTAAATTACTCTGGAGCATGATATTTGATAGTGCCAAAAACAAAGCTTTTCTCGGTGAATTTAGTAATGGCTTACAAATGCACTCTTCCTTCTATGACATACAATCTATGTTATAATGTTTTAACAGTAAAGGAGGAAATGATGCATCCCCAGCTATTTTATAGCAGACGGGCATCTGCCCTACATAATTAACAAATGTTATGGAGCTTGCACCACAGAAGGGAGAAGCTGACATCTTTATACGTAGGCTGTCGTTGCCATAATTATATTATAGAAGCAATGCAATGCAAACTACAGAAGGAAATGTGAAAGTGACACAGACAGGCAGAAGAAGCATTTGCTGTGAATGCGTTTTCCCAAGTTTTCCCAAGGGAAGGGGGTGCATCTAAAGCCTGGAGCAGAGTTCATAAGAGCCCTCCTGCATCTGCCGAAAGACTTGTCTGCTTAATCATCCTTCTTCCCACAGAATGAACTTCCAGATGCCTATGGGAAGCCTACACCAAACACAGGACATGGGGCTAATAGCCCCAATCCACTCTTGTTCTCCAGCAGCTAGTCTTCTGCTTCCTGACTCACCTTGACACTTTACCATCTGGGGCTCCCTGTAGCTTGTGGAACAGGCTCCCCTTGCTCAGTTGCTCTAAATTTGTATCATTTAAATTTAAATGAAGCTGGTATAAAGACTAACCGAGGAGAATCCCACCCTAAGCCTAATAGGCTCCACCATATTTGGGTGGAAACCTCTGGAGGGTTGTGCTAGTTAATGATACAGTCAACTGCTAATGCTGTGGGTCATCCTAGAAGCCTCCACACACCTGCTGCAGGATCTGCTGTGGCTGAGGAATGTCCCTAGGCCTCATAGCAGATGCTCAGAAGCCTCCATTGTGTTGCACAACATGATGAATTTCATTTATTCATTCTGCAGATTTATAAGCTGCTTCACAGCCAGAAGCTTACAATAGCATAGCTCTGTTGTAGGTCATAGACTCATAGAATTGTAGGGGTGGGTAGCTGTATAATAAGATAACATATAAAGCTGCAGATTCAATAATTTTTTATTTAAAAAAACCCAATCATTTCTACAGTTGTAGAAAATGAATAGGTCACACATTAGGAAAAGCTGTTTTGAACAAATACATCTTCAGCTGCTACCTATCTGTCTATCCATCTGTCTATCATCTATCTACCTACAGTAACTATCTATCTATCATCTATCTCTATCTATCTATCTATCTATCTATCTATCTATCTATCTATCTATATCATCTATCTATATCTATCTATCTATCTATCTATCTATCTATCTATCTATCATCTATCTATCATCTATCTATCTATCATCTATCTATCTATCTATCTATCTATCTATCTATCTATCTATATCTATCTATCATCTATCTATCTATCTATCTATCTATCTATCTATCTATCTATCTATCATCTATCTATCTATCTATCTATCTATCATCTATCTATCATCTATCTATCATCTATCTATCATCTATCTATCTATCTATCTATCTATCTATCATCTATCTATCTATCTATCATCTATCTATCTATCATAAAAGCTCAATATCTAATACAAACCAAGAACACTTTTTGGGCATATAACACTCTCTACCATGTCTCATCTGATGAGCACAGTTGCTAGGCAGAGATATAGGGGGTGAAGCAGTCCTGGAGGTAACCTGGTCTCAAATTGTTTAGGGCTTTAAATGCTAAAAGGAAAACCTTGAACTGTGCCCAGCAGCAAATGGCAGCCAGTGCAGCTGGCCTCCTTGGCCTGCTTTGGGAAGAAAGGAAATGTCACTGACTGGTTGGATGCAGAAAAATGGTGGGGGGAACCAGCTGGGTAACTGCCAAGGGAAGAAGGCTCAGAGCCTGGGGACTGGTGGTGGGATGGCAATAAGTGGTCAGAGGGAGAAGAGCAAGAAGGCTGGGAAGAGGCAGTGGCAGAGAGAAGACCAGATTCAGAGGTAGAAGTTGAGGCAGGGGAGGAGGGAGGCAAGAGGTAGAGATGAGGCAGGCTGGTGAAGAATCACGGGTGTCTCCCTTGGTCTTCCAGAACCAGAAGAGGAGTGAAAAGGGCGAAGGAGAGGTTTGCAAGCACAGTCTCCGATTGTCTGGAAAAAGTCCTGGGTAGGAGGGAACTTAGATAGCTCTGGGGAGGCAGGAACTTTCAATTTCAGCAACTGATCCATGGGGCAAGACCTACTGGGGATGAGCTGCTGTGCTCATTAGGCCTGGCATTCCGCCAAGGCTGTGGAGATTGTGTTCTTGCTAATAAAGAGTTAATTCCATCTTTGAACTGTGTGATTACTGATTGGCATGTTCCTGTGACAGGCAAAGTATTGATAAAAATAAGGAGGAGGAGGAGGAGGAGGAGGAGGAGGAGGAGGAGGAGGAGGAGGAAGAAGAAGAAGAAGAAGAAGAAGAAGAAGAAGAAGAAGAAGAAGAAGAAGAAGAAGAAGAAGAAGAACCGCACAGAGCAGTAATCCAGTCTTGAGGCACCAGTGTTATAGCTCAGACTTATGCCAGAGTCTCCACACATGCACAGCTAGGATAGCTGACAAGAGACCCTGGGAGTTTCTAGACCCACCAACAGATTCTAGTAAATAGAGGATCAACTTCAGTAGGAATTCTTCCAAAGTAGGGCCCCCGATCTGTTATCAAAACCTGGTAAAACTGAATTTTGTTAGGAATCCGATGAATGATAAGAGTTTTATTTGGAGCTGCCAATAAAATTGTAGGGAAGCTG